GTCTGTAGCCAGGGGGGTTGGGGACCCCTCTTCTAAATAGTAATTCTAACAAGTGACCTTAATATTCAATTCAAGAATGCAGTCCATGATCAAGTAAAATGTTAGAAGAAACAGGTTTTATATTTCATGAATCCAGAGAGTCTTTAAAACCATTAGACTATTCAGCAAAATTATCCATGTATTATTTTTTTGCTTTCCATTAGCCAAACCCACATATATTATTTTAAAAAACTGCATTAATATGTTCTAAAGCTTCCTTTTCATTTCTTTTGTGGTTGTAATTTTTGGAGAGTGAGTCAGAAATACCTATTAGAGATGAATTCTAGGAAAATATATGTAAGCAATAACTCTGGCTCGATTTATTTTTCTTCTCTACAAGAACTGTTTAAAACCTGGCAGTGGAAGACTGTTCTCTTGTCTACCAAGTATTATAGTAGAAAGTGCAAGGTCATCTCTAAATATGAAAGATTTTAAGTTTCTAAGGAAAGAGTGTATCTTAAGAAGGGTAAATGAAACAGTTGGCAAGAGGGAAGGGGAAATTTCCCTTTTTCACCTTGAAACTTGGCAGCATTTCTGCAGCAGAGCTTGAAACTTTAGATGAATTAAAGAGAGTTTGTTTCACCTTCTAGGGAAGCTCTTCTGCACTCAATTTATTTCCCCATGTCTGGTCAGGAAAGCACTTCATCTTTAGAGATTTTGCAAAACTTCTTTGGTTGATTAAAATGCAGATAGCATCCCTTTTGGTGATGAAATAATTTTAATATCGTCAGATTTTGAGATCTGTCTACATAAAACATAGGTGAGATAAAGTGCATTTTCAAGCCCGAATTTATTTAGGCTCGCTCACTAACTTCTCCATTTAATCACCAGAAGCTCACCTTTTCAAACTACTTTGCTTTGTGTGTTGTGGTGAGACTGAGGGTGGGTAAGGCTTTTGGCACAACTCAAACTACTCCATTTTATTTCAAATAAGTCCTGATGAAAGAGCAAATCCTACCCTCTTGCATCATCTTCTTTAGAAATAGGATGAATAAACATTCCTAAAATGGATGCATAGTAAGGAAGGGCAGGGTAGATGCCATGGTCTGGGCCCAACTTGTAAGCTGATGTGTGGCCCAATGATCCTCACATGTGGAACCCAAATGGATCATAGCACTCAACCTTCCTTTATAGTCCCCTTTGTTTGGTTTTATCAGATGAGGGAGATGGCCTACTTCTTTGCCATGTGAATAAACAACAAAATGCAATGAATCTTCTAGTGGAAAATCATGGAAAAAGCTGCTACCTATGACCATAGAAGTGTGTTTCAAAATTTGGTATAAGTTAGAAACAAAGTCCTGGAAAGTAGTTAAATTTCTTCAATACCTCAGGGATAACTTTTTTTTAAGTTCATAAACTTTATTTTTTAGGGAAGTTTTAGATTTACAGAAAATTTGAGCAGAAAGTACAGAGAATTCCTATATATTCCTCGCATCCCATCCACACCAGTTTCCCCTATAATTAATGTCTTGCATTAGTGTGGTGTATTTGTCACTTTGATAAGCCAATATTAATATATCGAGATCGTAGTTATTAATATTTTTTATTTTTTTCTTCATGAACCCATAGGTAGAGATTCATAGTTTAAATCAGTGTTTACCCTTTGTGTTGTCCTTTGTCCATTCTGTGGGTTTTGACCAATGTATAATAATATGTATCTATCATCATGGCCCCATACAGAGTAGTTTCACCCCATACAGAGTAGTTTCCTAAATATCTCCTGTGCTTTGCCTATCATCCTCTTTCCCCTTGGCAACCCCCTGGCAACCACTGATCTTTTCACTGTTTCCATAGTTTTGCCTTTTTCAGAATGTCATATAGTTGGACTCAACAATGCATAGTGTTTTCATATTGGCTTCTTTAACTTAGCAATGTGCATTTAAAGTTCCTCCATGTCTTTTTGTGGCTTGATAGCTCCTTTGTTTTTAACACTGAATAATATTGCATTGTATAGATGGACCACAGTTTGTTTGTTTATTCACTTATTGAAGGACATATTGGTTACTTCTGAATTTTGGCAATTATGCATTAAACTGCTATAAACATTGGTGTGTAGTCTCCTGTGTGAATGTAGTTTTTAACTCATTTGGGTAAATATCAAAAAGCATAGTTGCTGGATCAAATGGTAAGAGCATGTTTAGTTTTATAAGAAAAGGTAACTTCTGATGTTCTGTAAATTCTTGTAGATTTGAAGAAACAAAAATGAAGCAGAAATGACGTGATGCCTTTATGAGAACTGAGACTCTTGCAATTGATTGGAAATGTGGTCTATTGCTAAATGTATTAGCTTAGTTTTACTGAAGGCATGTAGGAAAGATCTTCCCATCTCCATTCTTGTCCTAGGTAAAAACCTATGTTTTTAAAAATAGCCGGGAGAAAACAAAGCCTTAATAAGCCCAGATTTGTTTGGCCTCATAGGATCTGAGATTGCCCATTAAGAATGCCTGTTGAATTTTGTGTCAAAACTCCTCTACATTCTTACCTTTTTCTTGATCATTTTTCCTATCTTTCCCTATAACCATAGCCTATCTGCCCCTTATATGATCTTTAAATAGTCTTGTTTATTCTCCTACCCTTCATTCCAGTTTTGAAGAGAAAGGGTGAGCACACTTCTCCTTGACGCCTCATTCTAAAGCTTTAAACTCTTGTTCCGGTGCCATCTTAGGGAACCCTACTCCTCGTTGGAGGCTGGTGGACAACTGGCATTCTGACTTTTCTCATCCACATTACTGTTTTCCACTGCCCTTCAGGACTTTCTCACACTCTTTAGTTTTATTATTCTTATTCACTATCTCATTCCTCAAAATTGTCATCCTCCATTAGCATCTCTAAACACTGCCTCTCAAAGGGTCATATAATCTCCAGGAACTAATGTTCCAGCTTCAAAATTACAAACTTTGAATCTCTCTTATCTCATTTATCTGTTCATCATAATTCTATTTTATCTTTACTTACACTTAATGAACCTGTGCTTAACCTTTTTTGTGTTTTCTGATTTCTCAACAACCGTATTCTAACCCATTAGCTTCCTTGATTCCTTTCTGAGATCCACTATCAACAAGGCTACTACTGGCACCTAAAATTGTTCTTCTCCCTTGTCCTTATGCTATGTTTGCCTTGTCAACCTCCGTTGTATGCTTTCTCAACTCTATCTCTCACTTGATGGAAAAAGTTATAAGCTAGAACCCTTTCATTTCACATACATGCACAGAGTGATATTTAACACTGAGCCTCATTTGGTAGACAGTAAGGAATAGGAAATAATCCAAATTTGTGAATGCATTCAGGTCACTCTATCACTCCATGATCTGGCTTTAACATAAATTTTCTGACTTGTATTCTGTTGCTCCTTTATAGCCTCTCCTGCCAAACTGTACTGCTTACTTTTCCCATGTTTCTTTATTCATCTGTGTGTTTTATCTTACACCAGCGATAGCAAATAGATTTCATCTTATATGACTGTTATGCTAATCGTGGTAATGAGCAGGTCTATGTGGAGAAGGATTCTGAGGCTCAGAACCAGCTCAGCAAGAGATTGCAACGATCGATTGGTAATGTCCACCATGAGTATGGAAGATGGAAGGACCATGCATTAGCTGGGCATTTCCCAGCATTTGCCACATATTTTCTCCTCCTGCTTTACATTCTTCATGTGTGATTCTATACATCTTTCAAGGTTCAGATTAATTGCTAATCGAAGGAAAACATATTTTCTTATATGTATGTGGAATATCTTTTTATAGACTACTATATCACTTTAGATATTTCTTGTGTGAAGGAAAACATATTTTTCTTATATGTATGTGGAATATCTTTTTATAGACTACTATATCACTTTAGATATTTCTTGTGTGAAGACAGGTATTATTGAGTATGAGTACTAGTGTTCTTCTTCCTTCTATATTGTTAGCTCCTCCAAGAATTATTTTCCAAGGAAATAATTCTTAATTATCCTATTTTGTTGATCACAATGGAAGCATGATGAGAATCCACAAGCAGATTCTCAAACAATTGGCATGAACACAAATGGAGAATCCTGAACTCACTTTTGACTTAAAGTAAAGGTCAAGATGAATAATGGAGGAAGTATCCATCTCAGGCTCTGCTACTGCTCAGCTTCCACTTGATTGTCCTTCCCAAAACTTTACATACTCCCAAATTGAAAGATTTCCTAGGTCTGAAAGGAACAATTTTACTAGGTCTGTTGAAGACTATAGAAACCCACTCTTATTGCAAATAGTTGGAACAGAACCAAGGAACATTGGTGACTTGTCCAGTTTCACAGGTAATGCTAACATTGACCATGGATTTCTGAATCAGGTTTTTCATCTTTTTACTAGGCAATGAAGCACCATATTTAATAATTATATTACTCATTTTGGGAGAACATGTATTTGTTGTGCTATTATTTTGTCACCTATCAAGTTTTATGCAATCAAAAATTAACCCATGGGTTTTGTTAAATAAAGCGGTACGCACTTTCTGCAAAATAACTTTTCATTAAGAGGAAGCTTATGGACATTACTGTTTTTTTTTGGCAAGTAAACTTTTATTTGAAATATGTATACAGAAAAGTGGTACAAATCTCAAATGGATACCCTGATGGATTCTCAAAACAGTGAAGCCATCTGTGTAACCAGCACCTAGATCAAGAAATAAAATGGTGCCAACACCCCAGAAGTCACCCTCAAACCTTCTCCCAGCTACTGACTCATCCTAAAAGTGACCACTCTTTTAACTTCTGACACCATAGGTTAGTTTGTCCCATTTTTGAGCTTTGTATAAATGAGTCATATAATATACATCTTTGTGTTTTGCCTCTTTCCCTCCACATAATATTTGTGAGATTTACCTGTATTTTTGTGTGAAGCAATAGTTTATTTTTATGGCTGTTCAGTATTCCATTGAGTACATATACCATATTCTGCATTTTATTATTTTTATTTATTTATTTTATTTTTTTTTTTTTGGGTACCAAATTTTTTTATTTGAAGTAATGGTACAAAGAACTTAAGTGGATGTTTTGGTACAACTTATAGAAAAGGTAAAGGAAACCCCAATATGCATGCACTGCCTTGGTGACCAGGAAGTCACCCTGTGGCTATGGGGAAATTAGCCAAATTAGCCAAAGGCTTAGATTTCATTATCACTGTCTCCCAGGGTGTGCTTGTCAAAGAGATATTCTGCCAAGCCAGATTGGGGTGCTCCCATCTTGCGCAAGTTGGTCACGTGGTCACCCAATTCTTTGATGGATTTCACCTGCTCATTCAGGTAATGCGTCTCAATGAAGTCACACAAATGGGGGTCATTTTTGTCAGTGGCCAGTTTGTGCAGTTCCAGTAGTGACTGATTCACATTTTTTTCCAAATGTAATGCACACTCCATCGCATTCAGCCCGCTCTCCCAGTCATCATGGTCTGGTTTATTGATATCCTGGAGGAAGATGCTGCCACCTCGTTGGTTCTGCAGCTTCATCAGTTTCTCGGCATGTTCCCTCTCCTCATGAGACTGGTGAAGAAAGTACTTGGCAAAGTTCTTCAAAGCCACATCATCTCGGTTAAAGTAGTAAGACATGGACAGGTAAACATAGGAGGCGTAGAGCTCCAGGTTGATTTGGCGGTTGATGGCGGCCTCTGAATCCTGGTGGTAGTTCTGGCGCACCTGCGAAGGTGATGCGGTCTTCATGGCGGCGGCTAAGGAGAGGCTGCGACGGCGGTGGCTGCGCGGCGCTGGAGAGGCCGGGGCCTTGGGACGATCCGAGGACGCGGTGTGGAGGTGACGGAGGGCTGGCTGTAGGCGGCCGGCCGGGGTGGGGGACGAGCGCCGGTTCCGTCCAAGCACTGTTGAAGCAGGAAACCGCGGCGACTCTCAGCGAAGAACGTCTGGCCATATTCTGCATTTTAAATGATCCTTTTATACTTACTGTCATTCTTGATGTGGAGTTAAGAAACTGAGTATAAAAATGTCTAAGATTGTAAGGATCTTTGTGTTATTTAACTTATTTATCATTTTCATTATTTTAATCTACTTCATGCAGATTGTGGCTAAGGATTTCTAATATAAGCTCCAAAAATTTAGTATTATATTCTAGCTTTATGAATACAATGAATCAATAAAGTAGTCTTTTGGAAAAGTTTTTAAAGTAAATATTATCTGAAAATATTAGTTTGTTGTAGGATTAACTCTGTGTTCTGTTCTTATAACTTCATATATGGAATTTCTTGAAATGACTGAAGGAATTCTTAGATTAAAGGTCATCTCAATTTCCCTAGGAGGTCATTTAGACATTATAAGTGATGGCTTATTCAGAAGAAGGAAAATGAGGGAGGGAGATTTCCTGTCAGTGCAAGGATATTGGAGGACAGACTTCAACATATTATTTATATATATTAGTATCTTATCCAGTTCAGCTCAAGGCAGATAACAGGTGAGTGTTTTGGTGCTGTGTGTATAGGTTCTAGTAGATTAACAAACTATTCAGTCTTATGGATGTGTTTTCAGATTTGAATTAATTAATATTTGTAGAACATCCATGGGATGAAAAAATCCAGATGAAGGCGAAAAAATAACACAAGACCTCTGAATTCCCACCCTTGAAGGGTGGCATACAATTTATTCAGGAAAATGACAAAGATTCTACAAGTTTGACAATTAGATACTCAAATAAATATTTTACACACACAAGCTAAGTGTGTGTAATTGAAGAGAGGTAAGGAGGGAAGAATATAGAGTATTTCTCTTATGTAGACTAGGAAGAAAGGATATTTGGGTTAGATTTTGAAAGTAGGAGAAATGAGGTAATTGGCAATGTTGTTGGCCATGAAGTGGTGAAAGCTATCACCATGGAAAAAGAAGGCATAAAGGAGCCTACCAAGAAAAGACAAGGTTCACTGGTGTGGAGGGAGAGGGAATGAGAACATGGTCAGCCTTTTCCTGGGAATTTGAATTATCATTCCAGGGAAAAGAATGCCAACGCAGTGCTTCTCAGTAGTTTTTTTTTTTTTTAATTGTACTTTAGGTTCTGGTGTACATGTGCAGATCATGCAGGACTGTTGCATAGGTACATATGTGGCAAGGTGGTTTGCTGCCTCCATCCCCCATCACCTATATCTGGCATTTCTCCCCATGTTATCCCTCCCCACCTTCCCCTTTCCCCGCTGTCCCTCCCCTAGCCTCCTGCCAACAGACCCCAGTGTGTGATGCTCCCCTCCCTGTGTTCATGTGTTCTCATTGTTCAACACCCGCCTATGATGGAGAACATGTGGTATTTGATTTTCTATTCTTGTGTCAGTTTTTTGAGAATGATGGTTTCCAGATTCATCCATATCCCTACAAAGGACACAAACTCATTGTTTTTTATGGCTTCGTAGTATTCCATGGTGTATATGTGCCACATTTTCTTTGTCCAGTCTATCATTGATGGGCATTTGGGTTGGTTTTAGGTCTTTGCTATTGTAAACAGTACTGCAATGAACATACACGTGCATGTGTCTTTATAATAGAATGATTTATAATCCTTTGGATATATACCCAGTAATGGGATTGCTGGGTCAAATGGAATTTCTATTTTTAGATCCTTGAGGAATTGCCATACTGTCTTCTACAATGGTTGAACTAATTTACACTCCCATCAATAGTGTAAAAGTGTTCCTATTTCTCCACATCCTCTCCAGCATCTGTTGTCTCCAGATTTTTTAATGATTGCCATCCTAACTGGCATGAGATGGCATCTCATGTGGTTTTGATTTGCATTTCTCTAATGACCATTGATGATAAGCATTTTTTTTCATGTGCTTGTAGGCCTCATATAGGTCTTCTTTTGAACAGTGTCTGTTCATATCCTTTGCCTACTTTTTGATGGGTTTGCTTTTTTTTTTCTTGTAAATCTGTTTTAGTTCTTTGTAGATTCTGGATATCAGTCCTTTGTCAGATGGGTAGATTGCAAAAGTTTTTTCCCTTTCTGTTGGCTGCTGGTTTGCCCTAATGATTGTTTCTTTTGCTGTAGAGTAGCTCTGAAGTTTAATTTTATCCCATTTGTCTATTTTGGCTTTTGTTGCCATTGCTTTTGGTGTTTTAGTCATGAAGTCCTTGCCTATGCCTATGCTTCTCAGTAGTTTTTAAGCTCATGCCTCCTTTACATAAACATATATCTTTACCACTCCATCCTAAAACTCTGAATACCTTTCCTCCCTATAATATATGGATGATTGTCTTTTCTATGTATCTTCAGCCAAGATAATTTTGTTGAGCTTCACTTTCTTTAGTATATATTGTGAAAAAGGATTACCCCCAAATGTAAATTAGATTAGAATATTGAGTTAAGTTAATAACTACATACATCCTGGGGACATTCTAACATGCTCTGTGTGTATGTACTTCTTCATTTCTCCTCCATTCTTTGAAAATCACCAAGGCTAAGTGGCATAGCCAAAAGAATAAATGAGAAAGGTGAGGTATCCTTCCCAGTTCATTTGATACTAATTGAAATTAGGGTCCACAGACTGGAAATTTAGTGAAATGGGTGTACTAAAAGAATTAAGGTCTGACCGAACAGTCTTCTCTGAGAGGAAGATGGGGATAAAATTGAATATGAAGAAAAAAATCTTAAAGTACTGTTGTGAACTCATTTTAAGGTTCTGAACTAAGCTACTAAAATAAGCTATATATATGCTTTTTCTAGTTTTTTTTTGTTTTGACTTTGGATAGAAAATGAAGTGTTTTGTTTTAGTCATTTGAAGGATTATGTGTCTGCATGGCATTTGGTAGAGGTATTTGTTAAGTACAGGAAATAAAAGATTAGTTAATAAGAGAAAACAATCAGGACTGAAAGATTATATTTGGAAATGATTCCAAGATTATTAATAATAATATAGAGATCATTATAATCACAAAGACAAATTATGTTTAAGAGGCTCTGTATAGAGTAGAGAACAGCTAACCAAACCCTGGGGGAATATTAATGGTAGTGGGAGAGAAGCAAATATTGGGTTTCTGAGTATTAGATGACCAGAATGCAAATAACCAGGAAAATATATCTTGAAAGTTAAAATTAGGAATGATTTTGGGGAGGAATTCATTTAGATTTCAAAACACATTTATTGAGGACATACTATGGTAAGTTCTGGGGTTGTGAGTATAAATATGATAGAGTCCCCTAAACCTCAAGAAGCTAAAAACTATGGCAAGAAATAAAGAACTTAAGACTATTGGGATGAAAAGTGATGGATGAGTGCCCAGTAATTTACAAAATAATTATTTTCTAACTTAATTTGGCCCAGGCAAGAAAAAGTAGTGCAAATATTTAGGGTAGGAGGGTGAGAAAGCAAAGAAGTTGCACAAATATTGTGGTTTTATGGTTAATGTTGGCAAAGTGGAGACTTACATGGATGATAGATCCTTGAGAATGTTTTATGGGTTTAATATACACAATGAAAATTCTTTAAAAAAGTATTTGAGGAATTGTGCAGCTGTATTGGTGATATTAGACTTACGGTTTCTTTTCTACATTTTATAACTATGAGGTAGTAGGCTGGGTCCTTGAATAAGTGTGTGTTCTTTGGTTTGCATGAATGGTATGTACTTGGAATTCTCAAAATAGAACTCCAGTTTATTTTCTCAGTAGTCCCAGTGAGAAAAGATATATTTCTTAAATATGGTCAGAAAGCACTTGGCAGAGGAGTGTTTGCTATCGAAACCTGTGAGTGTCTGCAGGTACCAGCATAAATATGTTCCCATTCCTCAACCCAGGGGGATAATCTCATTATTAAACCTGTACAGGCTTCAAATAAGCTTATTTTTAATGTTTGTTTCAGTATTGTAAATACAACAAGTGAAACATGGGAAAAACTTTAACAGTATAAAAGAACATACAATAAATGGTAAACCCCAGATCTTCAGTGCCTCCGATCATCAGAGTACTTAATCCTGCTTCTCAAAACTCATGTTTCAGAGTCTCTTTGGAAAAAGAAGGTAAAAATCATTTGCTAACTGCATTGCAAGGAAACTACAGTTACCTTTATGCCTTCCAGAGGTCAAATAAAAGCCATTCTCTCTCTGAAAAGAAAAACATCTATTGTGTGAAAGACGCACTAGAAACTGTTAACAGTATTTGCCTCAGGATTAAGTACCCTGACCTAAGAGACACAGATATTTGGATTTTTTTTTTTTTTTTTTTTTTTTTTGAGACGGAGTTTTGCTCTTGTTACCCAGGCGGGAGTGCAATGGTGCAATCTCGGCTCACCGCTACCTCCGCCTCCTGGGTTCAGGCAATTCTCCTACCTCAGCCTCCCAAGTAGCTGGAATTACAGGCGCGCGCCACAACGCCCAGCTAATTTTCTGTATTTTTAGTAGAGACGGGGTTTCACCATGTTGACCAGGATGGTCTTGATCTCTTGACCTTGTGATCTACCCGCCTTGGCCTCCCAAAGATATTTGGATTTTTATATAGACATGTACTCACTGAAACTGAAATTTGGAGGAACTGGAATTTGTGTGTGTGTGTGTGTGTGTGTGTGTGTTTATAGAAAGTGATTTATTTAGAGAGAGAAAAAGGAGAAGGAGAGAGAAAGAAACAGCTAATTCTCACACAGAATGAGAGAATCCAGAAAGATGGAATCCAGGAGAGGAAAGCAGCTTCCATTCTGAGTGGAAGGGAATAGAGAGAGATGGAGTTTAGGAGGGGAAGACAGGCTTCCACGAGAGAGTGTGGAAGGGGACTTCAGAGGGGAAATTCAGGAGAGAGAAAGATGGCTTCCACGAAGGGAGTGTTCATGGAAGGGGATCCAAACATGAAGTTCCTGGAGGAACTGGAATTAATAACATTTTCCCTCATGCAATTCATGGAATGTATTGCTTTGATTCTAATTATGCATTTATGTTA